CAAGATTCAAATCCCAGTAGCTGCAAAGGCCCCCGGCCCCCAAGAATAAAATAAAGGGAACTAAGGAAACATTCCACTGTGTCTTTTGCATTTCACGTCGAAACTCATCCCCTCGCCTCTGCCACAGGTATTACGTTTGATAACAGGAAGTCAGTTAAACAAAATACGTCCAGTTCAGGTGAAGGCGCAGGAAGAAAGGAGAGAACGAGGGATATGAAAGACCCTGGAAAACACGCAGCCCCATAAAGGCTTGAAAGGTTTGCTTTAATCTGCCAGCTGCTCGGATTAGAGGTAGCCTCGCCGCGCGCGTCAGCCACATGTCAGAGCCGTTCCCCGTGCACCTGGATGCCGCGCTGCTCTCTGATTTGGCTTCTCTGAAAATTATTTTTTTAAGCTGTATTTTAGAGGAAGACCAGAAGTTTCCCTCTTGCCGTACATCCAAGATTCAGAACTGGGATTAAAGGTGGAGGGAAGGGAGGGCTGGGAACCAAAAGCAAAGATCCCTTTTCCGGTGGTGAGTTCTCATTCGCTCAGGAAAGGCCTGGCGGTGCACCCCCAGCCTGCCGGGGTAGGGGGAGCCTCCCTGCACCCCTACCTGTCAGAGCTGTGGAGACCCCCGAGGGCCCAAGAATCCCAGGGAGACACCCCGTTATGTGCAAAGCATGCTGTGAAGATGAGAAAGCCCTTCTCATGTTCCAGAAACTTCCACAGCAAGGCCTCAGACTCAGCAGGCCCTCGATGTCTGTGAAACGCGGGGGCCAGTCAGAGAAGGGGGGAGTAAGGAGCATGTGGTATGATTTAGCCCAAGTCTCTTCAAAAAGCAACCGACATCAAAAAATCAAAGTCACTCCCTCGGTGGAGGGGCCCAGACGAGTTTTCGACCCGTTTACAAATATCAAAACTATCCTTCCCAGCGACACCTGTTTTGGGGTGGGGTGGGGTGGAGGGAGAGGAAAAGCCTCACAGCAACTAATTTGGGATTGAAGCAAAATGAAATTTTCATACCAGCTGTTGTTTTTAAGCACATACTCCATCCAACGCTCCCACACTACCAAGACCACACTCACACACACACACACGCATGCACACATGCACACACGCAGAGACCCAGTTGCCTCAACACCAAGCCCAGTGTCACTTCTGGGTCCGTCACATCCTGCTCCCAAGGCAAAGCACCCACAGGTCTGGCTGGGCCACTCCCACCCCTCTGGTCCTCTCCACAGCCCCAGCCCCCTGGGCACCCCAAGAACCTCAGCCCTGTGCCTTCCCCAGCAACAGTCGCTGCCCACCCCTGAAGGCTGAACACAGTCTCCCCCCTTCCTTCTCCCTCACAGGCCTCCTTCCCCTTGACTCCCCCCTCCCCTCCCCCCACCCTCCCACTGGACTGGAGGGGACCAAAGGCATCAGCTCTGCAGGGGTGGAGGGGGCCAGGCTCCACACCGCTCTGCTCTGGGTTCCCAGTCAGGCCGGTGCGCATCAGCCCCTGTCCTCTCCACACCCCCCCTGCAGGCTCCTCAGCCCTCCCCTCCCTGCGGCCTCTCTGGCAGAGGAAACATGGAAACAGCCCAGGGAAATGGAAAGAAGAAGAGTTTCTCAAGAGGCCTTCAATTCCGGAAGGGAAGAAGGGGGGTGCTGATCAAATTGGTGTTGCTCACACACACTCCCGCCCCCCCCCGGGAGGTGTCCCTGCTGACACCCCGAAGTCACGGTGGCTGCATCTTATGGGGACACGCCAACCCATGGGGCTCAGTGCGACCGTGTCCACGTGCGTCCCTGGGACATGCGGCGACGGGACGTCAGCTGGGCTGTGCTTCTTCTTGGAATAGGGGCTGTTCTGTCCCAACTCTTAGGGACCTGGAGGCGCGTGGTGCCTCCGCCCGCCCTGTGCCCTGTGCTCTCTGCTCTGCAGAGCGAGTGACAGCACCGCTGGGGGGGGTTGCAGCTCAGGGTAATGGGGTGCTCTCTCCCTTCCCACCCTGGGGGCGCCTCATTCACAGCCTGTGTTGAATAAAAGACCAATATCAGCCACCGAGACACTGAAAGAATTTCCACCGGCCCAAAGGAAAGCCCCGCCAGGATGATGGGAGGCCGCAAAACACAGCCCGTGGAAGTGAGGGAGGGAAAACACCGTCTCTGAAGAACAACTTCACCCTGGCGGGCTGGTCCAGGCAGCCTGGCTCGGCAGCGACACCGTGTGGTGAGATCCGGGACCCCACGAACACGGCCTCGCGGGGAGCAGGGGCACAGGCAGGAGGGAGGGATGAGCCTGGGGTAGGCTGGGTCCCACAGAGACCAGGGTGGCAAGACCCCGCCCAGGGCACTTGATTCCATGGGGCACTGAGATCTATTAAGAAGGCCATGGGGGGCTTCCCCTGGTGGAGCAGCAGTTGAGCGCTGGGCTGCGAGGCTGCCCACAGCCTGTGCAGCGCCGGTTTGTTCCCCGGTCACCGGCGAGGGTCCCACCAAAAAAAAAAAAAGGCCATGGGGAAAGAAAAGCAAATAGAAAGGGCAACCCAACTCTCCCGCCAACCTGAGGTCCCAGCACCAGAGCAGGTGCTAGGACGGCTCCACCGGGGCGAGCGGGAATCGCCAGCTGCCTCCAGAGACCAGCACCGAGGGCAAAGCTGCCTACACCTGCTCCCTTGGAGAATGTGGCTCCAGGGGACCGATCCGGAACCCTGGTTCCTCCCATTTCCTCCCGCAGCAGCTTCCAGGTCTTCTACGACACCAGAAAAGACAACACCCACCAGCACCTTGGGCGCCCAGAGCAGAAGAAACGCAGCGGGGAGCTGTGGGGAGGACAAGGGCCCAGGTGGGGCCACCCAAAGTGAGCCAGACCCAAGGAAGGACTCAAAGCGAGAAGCAGACACTCGCGACACTGACTTGCAAAGCTGTCAGGTAAGGCGCTCGGGAGGCCTAGAGTCTACGGAGAGACGAACGTGTACGCAGAACAAACGTTGGCTTTAACCCCATTCAAGCACCTCAGAGCCATGGTGTGAGTGGGGGTGACCATCAACAGGGGAATCACCACTACCCACCACTACCCCCAGCCGGAAGGAGACACTAGAAGCACCTGCTGTATCTGGGGCTGTTCATGCCAGCACACACCGCACAGTCCTGCTGACCGCACACCCATGGTCATGCCCGTGGTACAGACGACATAGGAAAGGCCAAAGCTCAGTCCACAGGAGAGTGGCCGGGGCCACTTCTTCCTCCCTGGGCGACAGCCCCAGAGACCCAGCAGCAGCCGGTCAGACCTGGGGGCAAGGGAGGGAGCAAGGCCCCGGGCCTGTCTAGCTCCTGGGCCTCGGAGCAGGCTGCCACCTCCTCACCCACGAGCCCTCAGGAAACAAGGGGGAGTCGCACCCCCCCCGGGGAGTAATGACCCCCCCACCCTGTGCTCTCTGCTCTGTAGAGCGAGTGACAACACCGCTGGGGGTGGGGTGGGGGCTGCAGCTCATGCTCTGCCCAGCCCCCCAAGGTGGGAGGCTACAGGTGGGTTCTCAGGAAGAGCTTTTCAATAAGTCACAAGACGAAAGTGAAGTTTTTTCTCCTATTAACTAAACATGTGAAACAGACATAAATGATGCGGAGCTTCGAGTTGCCAAGAGCAAGGTGCCAACCAAAGCTGCGCCACTAATTCCCTGAAGGACCTCAGTGCAAACTGGCCCAAAGCTGTGTGGCGAGAATGAAATTCAAGAACGGTTCTCGAATGAAAAGCATCAGCCATTGCTGTATTATTAATATTTTAAGCAAAAAGCATGACCTGTAGTCTTTAGACACCAGGCACTTCTTAGGCATGTTATACACTTGTACCTTATTCAGTAATATAATATAATGTATAATAGTTTATCAAAATGTATAAATTTAATATAATACAAAAAATATATATTATGTGACAACATGGATCATGTACTTATATGTTAACTATATTTGTTATCTATCACCACATTATGACAAAACCTGACTACATATTAAACAATATAAGTTATTTATAACATGTATAAATACAACTGAATATTACACATAGATTAATGTAGTATACTATTAATGGAATATTAAATATAGATTAATAAATTATATAAATGAATAGACTATAAAATTAATACATCATAAGTCCAACAATACAAAAACAGTAGTAGTAGCTGCAACAGCACTTAAAGAACACAATTGCAGGTGTATTATTTCATCTAGTCCTCCAACAACCCTGCGAGGTAGCCTGATGCTAAACGCGCATTTGTCTTCTCCAAAGGAGCACATCTCAGCCACAGTTCCAAGCTCTCCCTCTGGCTACCTCGGGAGCACAGTATGACCCAGGAAGGACTCCTCCTCTTGCAGGAATGCTGGGGGCGGGGGAGGCATGGTTTGTTCTTCTCAAGGGAAAGCAGGTATGTTTAGTACTTAGCATCACCTGAACTGTTAGGCATTTGCTGAAACCCCACAGTCACTAAACACACAAATTCCCCTACTAGGACAGACAGAAACAGACCCTCATGATGATTTGCCACAATCGACAACAAGCCAACAGCATTTGGGGCACGGGGAAGGGCAGGAGCTGCTCAAAGCAGGTGGCTCACGGCATCAAAAGCAAAGACCCAGGAGCCCTCCTGAGTGCATTCCTGACCACATATGCGTCTAGGGGACAAAGCTAGAAGGTCTGACTGGAGTCCAGAGCCTCCTGTGCCACAAGATGGCGGGCATCTGCATGCAAGAAGCACGCGAGAGCTCCCCGTCAGGACAATCCTGACACCAAAAACAGGGACCCTTTCACCCCTAAAAAGGAGAGCCAAAACATTCAGACTCCTTGGGAGGCCCCAAGGCTTCTCCCCTTACAAACACCATGAAAGTCAGCCTTTCCAAGGCTTCCAGGCCAGGCTGGTCTCCAAAGCAGATACAGAAAATTAAACTAGAAATCCAAACCAAGCCCTCAGGAGGGGAAGGACTGAGGCAAGGGTCCCGGCAAGGAAGGGGGGCTTCCCAGGGCCTCTCCCCACACTCACCTGTGCGGCACACAGCAGGTGCAGCGGTGTTAAGGCAGGAAGGTGTCCGACGTCACAGCTCACGCCGAGGGCCGTCAGGATCTCCTCGAGGACTTCGTAGCGCCTGGCATTGCTGGCTTTGAGCAGGTCAAAGTCTTCCTGTGTGCGCACGAGGGAAGTGCCAGGCGGGAGCTCCAAGTGCACCTGAGGAGGAGACGGACCTGTGAGCTGGAACCCGGCACGCCGAGACAGAGCATGTGCCATCGGCCTTTCTGGAAGTTTGACCATGGACCCTTCTAATTACCAGCAATATATAAACCCTGAATCTGAGCATTTCAAAAGTAATGACAAGCAATAAGAAGATGCAAAGGAAAGTACTGGAATTCCTTGCCCCCTGGTGCTAGAACCCCACCCTCACCCCCGCCAAGCCTGGGCCTTGGCACGAAGGAACATTCTGGCTCCTAGTCTGAAATCAGACATAACTGGACACGAGCACCCACAGGGCGCCCAGAGAGGCCCCTGAGGGCACCTGCTTTAGACTGTCTTGCTTTTCCAGGGTGAGCTGCAGGTGTCCATCATGCAGACTCCCCACCCCATGCCAGAGGAGAACAAAAGGCACAGGCTTTGAGCAACAAGAAATCTCTCGATTCCCATCTAAGTGGAACCAAGCGGAACAGACTGTGCAGATGGCGCGATGGGTGAAAGCTGGGCCAGAGCCCGTCACAGAGCCTGTCCAGCAAGACTCGGCAACCCGGGCAGCCCAGGGCTGCCCGCATCACCCGTGGAGCCACAGCGGCAAGTCTGTCCCCCAAACAGCTCTGGGTAGGGTGGGGAGAGAGGCCAGCTCTGGCCCAGCACCTCAGTTCCCAGGACAGAAGGGTGATACCCGGGCCTCCTCCTCTGGCTGTGACACTGTTACACAGTGACGGGCTCGTTGCTACATCTTGGCTTCTTCCGAAATCTAGTCTTTTTGGGAGAAGTCAGAATGGAGAAAGAAAAACGTCATATGACTTCACTCATAGGTGAATATGAAGAAGTAAAGCAAAGCAAACACAGACAAGAGACTGGCGTCACCAGAGGGGAAGGGAGAGTCGGGTGAAGGGGTCAAGAGCAGGTGATGGCAGGAGGCAGACTCTGCTGGGATCCTAATGCAGTGCGCACAGGTGTCCAGCAATAGCACTGAAACCCGCACAGTGTTTTAAACCACTGTTGTTTCCACTCAAAAAATTTTAATTAATAAATCAAACTTTAAAAAATGAAATAAAAAGACTTTTTGGCTAAACTGGAATGTCTCCTGTCACGACAGGAGTGGGAGGTGCTGCTGGCAAATATGGGAAGGCCCCAGGTGCTGCATACACCCTCCAAGCCCAGAGGGCTGCACCCCAGAAAATAGGTCCAGCCTGAGCATGGGGGTGCCATGGCTGAGAAATGGCTGTCACAGCAGCACTATGGGGCCATGAGCTCAGCTAAGTGAGAAGAAAGTCAGCTAGTCTTCCATCCATGCTAGAGACAACCTCCAGCCAAACCCCCGGCCCCCTGGAAAATCGGATGTCAGCTAAGTCCACAGCCTCGGTTCCTGCAGAGCTGAGCCAGACGAGCAGAGGGCAGTGTCCTCCCCTTTACGAGGCCGTGGCACGCTCCTGGCCGGGAGGAGGCCCCTCCCTGCAGCTGTGAGGAGCCCTTCACGTACTTGGCCTCCTCTGACTGGGTTACATCACTACTCGATTTATGGCAAAGATGAAAACGATGAAATTGAACAGGGAGGAGGAAACTAACCAGCCTGTGATAGCATTTATGGGCGCTCTCCCGTGGGGTAAGCAGCAATACGGGGCCGACGAGAAAACAGGGCCCCTGCCTGTGGAGCCTGGAAGTCCCTGAAAATCAAACGTGGCATTCTAAGCCTCTGAATCCGATTTTTGAAGCTGCATCAGATTGCCTTTTTTCCTGGGGCGATGAGGGCGGTATTGAATTTTATGACAGAAATGGGGTCAATTTAAATGGGGCAGCCAGCAGCTTTGCGGTCTCACCCGGAGAAGCGGATCACACGGTGCCCAATTGATTTTCCAGCAGGGTCTGAGCACGGGGGAGGGACAACTCACTATTCAAAGCTGAAATACAGCTCTCGGAAGTCAGGTTTTTAGTGGATTTTCTGAAAATGCATAGCTAGTTACTCTGGTTACCGTATCTGCAGAGGGCAAGAGAAGCAGCCCGTTCATCAGGCCTTCCCAAAACTCACGCATGTGCTTTGTGACCTGCAGGAAGCCCACGCGGGTCAAGCTCATTGTCAGATTTCTTAATTATGTGCATTGTTGCCAGAGGAGCTCAGGGACAAATGAGTGGCCCTTAGAATAGAAAAGAAATCCAACTATACCCCCTTGGAGAAGGTTTGGTCAGAAAACCCCAGAGACATAGCTTCTAGAAGGGGTGGAAAGAAGCAGCATGTGAAGTGACAAAACAAAACAGCTAAGAGGAAACAACTCTCTGGCTCACAAACATCCCTGTAGTAAAACAAAAAACCCCTCACACTCCTCCTGGGGAGTATTCTGGGCAAAACGCCCACCTCTGCCTAGTTTTGCTCATGAGGTCATCAAACCCTTGAGTGTTCATCTGGCACTAACACAACTGCCCTGAGGCATTACAAGATTGGCAATGATAAGGAATCTGGAAGTCTCTCCCGCTCAACACAAACAAAAAAGCTAAAAGGAAAAAGGTGTGTGGAGGCGGGAACAGATATCAGGTGAGCCCAGGTTCCCTGGGGTGGGAGGAAGTTGTCCCTGTTTTCTTCCCTGAGGAACTACAGGCCACAAGCTCAAGTCACCCCGGTCTTCTATCTGGCAACATTTCCCTCAGTTTCTAGATTTTCACAGAGACAAGTCGGAAGAGAGGAACTGAAGCTGAAGATGCCTTCAGCCACCGCGCCCGATGGGCAAATCCCTGCTCTCCACAGTCACCTCCTAACAGAAGGGTCACTGATGTTGGGGCTCCCCAGCCTGGAGCTCTCAAATCCTTCACATTAAGTGAAAGCTCAATTGGATGGGCCGAAGTGAGTCCTGGAGCAGGAGAGCAGGCTGGTGAGTTTTGGAAAGAATTTTCTGACTCACCCTTGGTTAGACAGCCACCCCAGCCCCAGAAGGCCTCGTCTCCCCCAACCCCCAACACATGTATTTTGGTAAGACAGGATATTCACACCCTGACTCGCAGCCAGGGGTCAAAAGTAGGGCACAGCTCAGACACTATCAACACCTGTAAGCGAATCCCTGTCAGATGCCAAAACGCGGTTCCCGGACTTGGGCCTCGTACCTGACAGAGAACAGCTTCTCCTCCACATGTCCCGAAAGGCACTTGCACAATTAGCCTGTCCTCTTCCTCACCATCCAGGCGGCCCTGGAGCTTGCCCAGGCTGGGCCTCTCCCCAGGGCCCTCTTCGTAAACGCAGCCACTGCCCAGGACGCTGAGCTTCACCTGGCTCAGGTCGGCTTTGGAGAAAACCACGTTCTGGACGGTCTCCTGCGAGGCGCCCCTGCTTGTCACCTTCAAGCCCCCAAAGGTGAAGGGTGAAGACAGGCCCAACACCTTGCCGCCCTGAGCAAGGTAGGCCAGGAACCTCTGGCTCAGGTCTTCAGGAACAGCCTCGCGGGTAGCAATGACCAAAAGCAGACAGTTGTCCGGCCACGGGTCTTGGAGAGCGCTGTCCTCAGAGAGGTGGTAGAGCGTGTAGCAGTCTGGCTCCACGCAGTCAGCCAGGAGGGACTGCACCTGCTGGAACCTGCCTGGCGTCTCCTGGGAGTCAGAGCCCACATAGACCAGGATGTTGGGGGCCTTTCCTGTGATGTTGACTCTCTTCCCTTCTCTCTCTGGGCAGATGGTATCACCAATATCCTCCAAATGGCCATTGCTGTAATCATAGGGAAGATCTGGAATGTTCTCTGCAGATGCAAACTTGACGGACTCAATGGTACTGTTCTCAAGCTCCAGACACTCGTGGCAACTGGACAGATGTAAGTGACAGTGCTCAGTAGAGCCTGCTCCCCGATTGCTCTCCCCAGCAGGCTCGCTCCCAGGGGCGTCCCTGGGCCCCGGCCTGACCTGGGGCTCATCTTTGACCATGTGCTCCATACCGTCTGGCTGAGGCTGACTCTTCCCGAAAGCTGTGGGGCTCAGCGGCAGGGTGGGGGCTTGCGTGTGTGAGGCCTGACCCTTCAGTTCCTTGAGCGTGGAATCGTGCAAGTGCACCGCTGAGGCGGGAACAGAACAGACAGCGGGGTCAGCTCCACAGCCCCCATGCAGCTCAGACCCCTGCACCCTGCACCCACGACTTGTGTCCCAGGGCAGCCCTGTGCATTAATCAGTATCCTTTGGAACCAGTGCTCCCTGGCCAGGAGGAGGGCCCTGAAGATGCAGTCTCCCCAAACCCTTTTCCCTACAAACCCCAAAACCTCAGTTCCCTACTTGACCGGTGAGGAAAGTGAGATTGAGTGAGGTGATGCCATAGACTGACTCCCCAGTTTCACTCTTGCTACATCATGATGAAACCAGAAAGGGGCCCACCCATGGCATGTGCAAGCACACCCCAGGAAAAGGCCGCACGGCATTTATTTCACCCAAGATAACACAGTACAACCAGCTGCTAGACTATTGCTCAGTGCATGGAAACCACAGCCAGTGTCTGGTGTTTAAAATTTTAAAAGCATTAAAGACACACTCAGGGATAAGCACTTCCAAAAAAGAAACCTGACATTTATGAATTTTATGCCATTATGATTAAACCAACCTGTTGACTGAATTACAGTGAACAAGTAAGCTGTGCGCTCGAGTCACACCAAACAGGCATGCACAACCAGCCACCCCCTGACGTCCTGCTGCGGACAGTCACTTACAGATGATCTTTTGGGGTGCCAGTCCATGGGCTATCTGGAGTCTCTCTTCCAGGAACGCCACCCCCAGCTTGCTGAAGTCGTCCACGCTGGCTTGGGCAATTAACTGATAAGGCTCCCCAGGTCTGCAAGCTAAGGGCAAGCAGCAGTCTGACCACTTGACAATCTGAGAAAAAGTGGGTGAGAGAAGAGGTTAAGACCCCTCTGAGATAACCAGACACCCCTTACCCCGCAGCTCCCCACTACGCTCACTGCCAGACACAGCTGGATGCTGCAGCTTTTTTTTTTTTTAAATAATAAATTTTATTTTTATATTCCCCATACAATTGCAACCCCCCCATTCTGACCCCAATCCCTCCCCTCCCACCCCCCACCCCCCAAAAAGTGTCTCTGGTTCATAGTTTTTTGTTGATTTTGATTTTCACTATCTTATAGTTATTCATTTTCCTGATCCCTTATTTAAGTTTTCTAGATTCCTGCTATGAGTGAGACCATCCGGTATTTTTCTTTTTCTTTTTGGCTTATTTCGCTGAGCATAATCCCTTCCAGCGCCATCCATGTTGCTGCAAATTGCATGTGTTTATCTTTTTTGAATGCTGAGTAATATTCCATGGTATATATGTACCACATCTTCTTGATCCAGTCATCTATTTTTGGGCATTTGGGCTGTTTCCAAAGCTTAGCTATTGTAAACAGTGCTGCTATAAACATAGGGGTGCAGGTGCTCTTTGGAATGGATGTTTCTGTGTCCTTTGGGTAAACACCTAGGAGTGGAATTGCTGGATCCTATGGAAGCTCTATGTTTAGTAGGTCCAGAAATCTCCACACAGCTCTCCATAGTGGTTGGACCAGTTTGCACTCCCACCAACAGTGCAGGCGAGTTCCTTTTTCTCCACAACCTGGCCAACATTTGTTGTTGCTAGTTTTTTTAATATGTGCCATTCTCACTGGTGTAAGATGGTATCTCATGGTAGTTTTGATTTGCAGCTTCTTAACAGTTGTTCTGGACCCGCCTCCTCGTGTCTGCCTGACAAGGGGGCTGACCAGCCTTCAAATACAACTCCTGTCACTTCAAAGTATCTGAAGTCTCCACTGACTTTCCAGGAACAAAAAGGAGAAAGGGCCGTTCCCCAGACACTGGGAAAACACACAAGTCCTAACTAGGGACATGAATGGCAAATCAATAAAATTTGATTTTTTTAAAAATATTTATTTATTTATTTATACAAGCACTGGATACAGTCAGAAGCGCGGGAGGGTGAGAGAATTCACCAGAGCCAGAGCGGGGAGCAGAGCAGGCAGACTGACGAAGTACACTGCTGAGGGGAGCAGCGGGCATAGCAGGAGAGGTCTGCACACCATGTGGGACCCTCGCGGGCAGCCGGGGAATGAACCTGCACTGCAGAGGCTGCAGGCAGCTTCACAGCCCAGCGCTCAACCACTGAACCACCAGGGGAGGCCCAATAAAATTTGATTTTTAAAAAAATTACCCTACAGTAACAGGGAATTGAAAAAACAAGTCCACAAATGTCCAGTGCTTTATAACGTAACCTGGAGACCAGTTTTTCAAAGTGTGGCCCAAGCCCAGAGGCTCAGAACTTGGGGCGTGTGGATGCTGTCCCCTCCCTCAGAGGTTTTCAACACACTTCCCCAGGGGAGTCCTCCAGCTGCTGAGAGTCTAGAATAAGTGCCAAGGGCTCTCAGGCCACTGGCCTGTCCTTTTCTCATTTCCACCACAAGGGGGCTGGGAAAATGAGAGCAGTCAAGACAGCCCTTTAAACCTTCCAGTTCACATAGAAGAATATGGAAGAAAGACCCGGAAAAGGAGCACTGCCTGGGCTAAGGGTCTCGCTCTTGGGGGGAGCCAGGTCTGTGTCCAACTCAGCTGTGGGAGCTGCCTGTCCTTCAGCAAAGCTCAGATCTCGGACGTTACAGCCTCCTCACCATCTCGGCTTCCTCTCACAAAACAGGAGGGCTGATTTTATTATTACTACCTAACATCTGTTTTTTAAAGATTTATTTATTTACACACACAAGAACTGGGGTATAGGTCAGAGGTGTGTGGGGGTGAGAGGATTCACCAGAGACACAGTTGGGGAGCAGAACAGGTGGATCTATGAAATCCAGTGCTGAGGGGAGCAGCGGGAGGGAGAGACAGGAGAGGTCTGCTGCGCCATGTGGGTCAGCTCCCTGGCCGGGATCGAACTCAGGCCGCAGAGGCTGTGGACAGCTTCATGGTGCTGAGACTTAACCCCTGCACCACAGGGAGGCCCCAATACCGAATATCTTAAACCAGTACTAATGACGATATTAATGCCCAATATCTTCAAGCAGGAATGATATTACTATCAGTCATCTTAAAGGTTTTTCCTGTTAGTGAGATACATAATGCCCCCAGCAAAATGCTGGAAAAGGAAAAATACACAGGGAATGAAAGTTGCTATTTTTTGCCATTTTAAAAGCAATGGTGAATATCTCAATCTTTTCCTAAAATGCCATGAATGTTTCCCATACTCCCCCCGAAAATTTTCTCAGTGATATACTGCCCCAAACTTCATAATTATAGATTCGTAATTCTGAATCTCATTTTTCACATACATGGGCTAAGTTTTTAGAAATCTTGCTGAAAACAATGAATAACGGACAGTTAATGGATAAAGCATCTTAAAAACACCGAAGAGTTGAGCAGATGATGGAGAACTGCCAGGCCAACTGCTGGGGTAAATCTGGAACCCACACAGGTTGGGCAGAGTTGCCTGAAGTCAAGTTACTTCTGCTCTGAGGGTTCATTGCTCAGCCTGGAAACTTGAGCTTCAAACATCAAGGCCTAATTATGTAAGGATAGACATCTAGATCAAGATTTTAGCAATAAACATACATTTATGGACAAACTGTTGGACACAGCTCCCAAGACAATTCAATGAGGAAAGAATAATCTTTTCAAAAAACGCTGGTACAACTGGATGTAACCTGCAAAAAATGAAGCTGGGTCCCTACCCCATACCATGTCTCTACCCCATACCATGTAAGACAGGTACAAAAGTTAACCCGAATGCAGTCAAAGACTTCAGTGGCATCTCAGGTAGGACATCAAATGTAGAAGAAACAACAACAAAAAAGACTTCATAAAAAAAAAAAAACAACTGTACTTCAAAGGACGCTATCAAGAAAGTAAATAATTTTTGTGTATAGGATATCAGAAATCACTCTAAGCACCTGAGTAAAATAGAAATAGACCATGAGTAGCAACAATTTACTTAACTGATGTAGGGTAAGTGAAAATTATCAGGCTTTTCTGCCCCCTACCATTGGCATTATGATGGATCTCTGCAGTCCTACCTGCATGCCTGATGGCGGGCACCTGGAGTGGGGTTTGGGCATGCATAGGTGGGTGCACCTGGACTGAGACTGCGCTTATAAGGGCGGCATCATGGAAACGCCAGAGAGAACAAGAAGCAGAACAAGAAAGAGCAACAGTAGAACAAGAACAGAAGCGGAGGGAAGAACCACAGAAACCGAGACCATGAGAGAACGCAGGAGAGCCCAGAAAGAGTGAAGATTCACCGGGGGCTGGGAGGCCTGCTAGCCTGCAGGCCACCCCCACCATCCCTGCCTGCTGTGTACTTGGCAAAAGCTCAACAAAAGCCTGAAAAAGCCTCCGAGGGCTCCAGGACTCTCCTTCACCCGTGCCTTCCTGGCACTACAACTGAAAAACTTTTTTTTTTTTTTAAGATTTATTTATGCATACAAGAGCTGGGGTGCAGGCCAGGGATGCAGGGAGTGTGTGAGAGACACCAGAGACAGAATGGGGAGCAGAACAGGCAGATGTACTGAAATACACTGCTGAGGGGAGCAGTGGGTGAGACAGGAGAGGTCTGCCACGCCATGTGGGTCAGCTCCCTGGCCAGGGATAGAACTCATGCTGTAGTGGCTGTGGACAGCTTCATAGTGCTGAGTCTTAACCCCTTGCACCATTCGGGAGGCCCCAGAAACTGTAACTTTTATAAAAATTACATTGGATGTAATTTTCTTACATAAGGTACATCGACATGTAAAATGTTATCCTAAATATTCAACAATTAATGCATCTTCATCTTCATTGCTTCTTGTCTTTAATTATAGATTCTAAGGGATCAAAACTCCATTGCCTGCATATAATGGAGGGACTGCTAGGATAAGTAACTAATATGTTTTCTGGTGATGACTGGTTTTATTCGTCACTCATGAAAGTGCTCATTTTTTCAGTCCTGTTTGATGGGAGCTTACAGCAGAAAATTTAGGAATTAGCCATTAAACTCTGACCACTGTGAATTGTATTCCTTCTTTAGGATTAACTGTTAATTCACTAAATGAATTACACTCCATATGTCCCCCTCTTCATAATCAACCATTAACTGGCTCCAACTGCATTTCTGCAAACTTAAAGAACTGATTGCGTTACATCCCTGATAGGACACACCTGCTGAGGAAGCCGGTCACCTTGACTCCCGCAGCCCTTTTTTATTCAGTCATAAAAAAGGAATGAAGTACTGATACATTATGGCAGATGAAACCTGAATATTTCATGCTAATGAGGGACGCCACATAGGAACTTTCTATAGGAAATAGACAAAACCTACAAATCTGTGGAGTCAGAAAGTAGATTAGCAGATGTCAGGGGCTGGACACAAGGGGAACAGAAAGTGAGTGTTTTTTGTGGATAAGGAAAATATTCTAGAATTACACAATAGGAATGTTTACACTATTTTGTGAATGTACTAAAGACTATTGAATTGTAATTTACACTGTGAAAGGGTAAATTTTATGGTGTGGGAAGTCCATCTCAAATTTTAAGAGAAAAAGGGATCAAGGCAGTTTGCTTGTTTCCACACTCTTCCAGGAGAGCCTAGTGAGTAAGAGGACTCAACATCAATCTCGACTTGAACTAGAGCTCTGTGAGTTAATAGCTGTGTGATCCCAGCAAGTCACAACTTCGCTGTGCTTGGGTTTCTGTGGCCGGAAATGCCAGGTCCTGCTGCCTGTCACTACTATGCCAATGAGCAGAGACGAGGATTGAATCTATCAGAAGCATGTTTATTTAGACTACGGGGCGATGATCTAAGAATGGCGGGTACAGCACTCGGATTAACCATTCTGCCATCCCATTTCCAGCTGCCCTTTTTTTTTTTTAAGATTTATTTATTTATGCATACAAGACTGGGGTACAGGCCAGAGGTGCGGGGCCGGCGGGTGGGGGGGGGGGTAAGAGGACTCACCAGAGACAGAGTGGGGAACAGAACAAGCAGATTGACTGAAATCCACTGCTGAGGGGTGTAGCGGGGAGACAGGAGAGGTCTGCTGTACCACGTGGGTAGCTCCCTGGCTGTGGCTAGAGCTCGTGCTGCAGTGGCTGCAGTTAGCTTTATAGTGCTGCGTCTTAACCCCTTGTGCCACCAGGGAGGCTCCCTGCTCTTTTTTATACTGAACTAAACAGACAGTCATAAGCAAACAGCCCACAGAAGAGCCTGTCACAATTAGGTGTCTGGTATTTGTTCACATTCATCCCCCAGAACTTGTTATCAGCCTCCCGGCTACCTCGACCTTGGTGCATCAATACCCAGGCTCTCCCTCAGGCATCACTGGGGCAGGGAACTCAGTTTAAAGCAAGAGTTTTAGTTTAAAGAAAACCCCATTAGTCATCTGGTGTGTACACACAGCTCTTGTTATGTGGGCAGATTCCTGTACGAGGCATGCTGCCCTGTCCTTCCTCCCTAGCCGCCTGCCATTTCCTGTCTATAAGGTGGAGATGATAAAAGCACCTATCTTAGAAGCTTCTAGAACTACTTGGGATAATGCTCAAGCTGCCTGGTCCACAAGGGGGCGCACTTACCATTCTAAAACATGGCTTCCTTAGAGGGCGAATTCTCAGTAGGGACCCCATCACCTCCAGGAGGGCAAAAATTAGTTCTTGGGGGTAAAAAAAAAAAAATCTTAGCTATTACAATGGCTTCTAGTATTTCATTTGTGTCCTTAGAATTACAAATGAGGGAAGCAAGAATGGGGGAGGGGGCTGAGAAACCCTGTCTTGGAGGGACCAGGAAAGAATGCATGCCTTTACTGTCCAAAGGCTCAAGTCCACTCATCAGTCTAGAATATCTGGAAAAAGAGAAAACCTCAGAATGTTCTTTCAGCCTTCCCTGCAGATTATCATCCACGTCCCCCTCCTCCCACCAGCAGGCAGTGAGTAGGAGTCACCTAGAAGCTGCTGCGGAGTCTGCCTTTTAAATGCCACACCTGACCCCCGGTGAGAAAGGGCGGTTACAGCTCAGGCAAAAATGCAGCTGATTTCCAACTCTGGGGGAGGAGGAAAGTGCCTCAACTCAGGAAGACGAGAAGGGAAAATAACCCCGTGGCAAGAGCTAACGTCCCACGTGAGGGTGAACGGGAAGCAGGAATAGGAACGTGGACCGTCCGGGTGTGCCCTCCTGCACGGAGCTGAAAGCACCCCTGTTCTCTGCAGCCCAAGAGCAAGGAGGTGCTGCAGGAAGCCAGCTGTTCATGCGGGGCGTGAGCACCCTGCTGTTGCAGGCTCTGGCCGGGGAGCACTCAGTGGGAAAGAGGCCAAAGACTCAATTCTCACACACCTTCCAGAAGCAGGAGGGAGATAACGAGCAGGGGAAGGCAGGAAGCGGCCAGAGAACAATGGACACGAGCCCCAGATCAAATTTCTCCACGGGCCAGCTGTTTCCTCACCTAAGTGCGTTTCCTTTTTCTAGGAACAGGCTCAGGAGCCACAGACCATGCAAACTCCTCCAAGCAAGAAACTCCTCCAAGCTCAGAGTGCGGATCAAAGCAAAGCGGCAAGTCACTGATACTGGTCCAGAGGTGTTTGCCATCCGGTGGCTAAAAGCAAACAGGGCCCTTCACATTTGCACTTCAGGATGGAAAACAAAGGGCAGGGAAAGAAAGGGAATGTCAAGCAAAAGGCTGACTCCCAAAGATCAAAGCTAGGGGATTTCCTCTTCCAAGCGTCATGCAGAAATCCCTCCCCTAAGCAAAGCTGTCGATTTGATGCTGCATCCATTACAGCAGACAGTGATGAATCTGCACTCGACTTGAGGCACAGGGCCGGGCAGAGGACTCTGGGCCAAGGGCACTGGGTAAAATCCGCCCTTCAGCCACCTGCCCTCCCAAGGCAAACCTCAGCGACCAGTCAGGGGGGGCTCATTGGATGCGTCCACTCCATAAGCCCGGTTCCCAGAGACTTGGCCAAACAGGAGTCTAGAGGTAATTGCGGAGGTATTTTTAGATGAGGTTAACATGTAAACCCAGAGACTCTGAGTAAAGCAGATTACCCTCCCTACGGTGGTGGCACCTCACCCAATAATTTGCAGGTCCTAAGAGAAGAAGACTGTGGGGGCGCACAGCCTCCAGACTGGGCATCAATTCTAGGTTTCCAGCTGCCACACTGCCCTGCGGTGTGTGGACTCAACAGATTCCACCATCATGTTAATTTCTTGTTGTTGCTGTTGCTGAATCAATTTCTTAAAAAGAAGGAAATACTATGAGCGAGAACACACACACCATCGTGGCCTCTCTTTCTCTGCAGAACCCCAACGACTACGAGTTGTCACCAGATCACGAGTCAGAAAACAACGCGGCTCATTTTTCTGGCTTGCGTTACTCCTCTTCCAAATCAAGTTAATTACACGTTAGGGTTTGTTTTAATTTCTGATAACAAGTTGGATGAAGGAGGGCCAGACACATAGAAATGTGCCGAATTCAAACTCTGAAAGGAAAAGTAGGTTCTTTCTGACTTGGGTTACCCTCGCTGCCTTTCGGGGTTGGAAGGAAAGGATAAATATGTACTACAAAATTGATTTTCACTTTCTAGTCTTTTAAAAGTGAATTTGGCCCCCGAGGCACTTTTCAGAGAGGCGTGCTAGAAAGCGGGGTGCCAGTGTAAGGGGTATCACAGCTCCCAAGCAGAAGGAAGGGTTGAGGGAGCTGTCCAGCAAAGGCAGACACTCAGTGGAGAGGGGGGCTAGGTATTTTAATTTTTCTCAACACTTGAGAGTTAATCAGAAAATAACAGAAACGCCCTCGCTGTGGCCAACTCTCACCTATCGCTCGTGTTCTTAGCTGTCCGTGAGCACCTGAGCCCGCCTTCACTCTGCAGTCACTCACTGCTCACTGTATACCCCTGCCCCTAACGCTGGGAAGCTGAAGAAGAGCAGAAGTTTCAGGAGACACCCCAGGTGTGCCCATGACCCACTGCTGTGCAGCAGACCAGCCCAAACTCCAGGGGCTCAAAGACAGCGTTTGTATCGCTCACAAATGTACCGAGTGCAGAGGTCAGCGGACTGACCAGGCCGAGCGGCAGGAGCATGGATGGCTCAGTCAGGCCGGGAGGTTCCTCGGACAGTTTGCTAACTGGAGCTGCCCGTTGTCAGCAGACCTAGGCTCTGCCTCCCGGCGCCTCGCCACAGGCCAGCTTGCGCCTCCTCACAGCCTGGGAGCTGCTCGGTCCTGGTGATCTCACCATGCAAGTCCCAGAATGTCGCTTCCACCACATCTGACTGGACAAATCTCCCAGGTCAGATTTGGCAGATTCCACCTCTCCGCAGGAAGGAGGCACCTGCAGCATCTTCAATGGCTGTGCTGAGTTCCTGCCAACTCTTACTCTCCCCTCTGCATGAGGGGACTTGCTCCTTCAGCCTGGGTCCCTGCACAAGAAAGCTGCAGAGCCCAGAGCAGTGACCGCTTTAGACCACAGCAAAGGCCGCTGAGGCTTCATGCATCACCAAGAGAAGATTTGTTGTTAGACGCCACTGAGCCTCTCGGGTCATCTGTGATTTCAGCAAAACTCACAAAGATGATGGGCAAACCCGCGCTCCTTATAAGTGGCGCCTCCACCAATCTTCCTGATGTGTTCTCTGCTGCCATCAATAAGCCACCGAACCCTCACTATCCCCTAAAAGTCGCGTGCATCCATCCTGGCCTCACCATGCCTTCCGCCATACTGGCCAAGATCAGTCTCTTCCCACACTGAGTACAATCTGCTGCAGGTTTACGTTCCTCTGCTCCACCCCCTAATCTATGTAGCTGTGACCTTTCTAAAGCACATTTTGCTTTAAAAAAAAAAAAAAAAAGTATTGGGCCTCCCCTGGTGGCACAGCGAGCGGTTGAGCGCTGGGTTGCAAAGCTGTCCGCAACCTCTGCAGCGCCGGTTCAATCCCCGGCTGTTCCCCGGCCACTGGAGGAGGGTCCCACATGGTGCGCAGACTCTCCTGCCGCCCGCTGCTCCCCTCAGCAGTGTACTTCGGTCCTTCTGCCTGCTCTGCTCCCCACTCTGGCTCTGGTGAATTCTCTCACTCTCCCGCGCTTCTCACTGTACCCAGTACTTGTATCAATCAATCAATCTTGTATAAATAAATAAATAAATCCTTAAAAAAAAAAAAAAAGTATTAGCCTACTGTCCAAATCCCTAATTAGCACCTATCAGCCCTTTGTGATCTGAGCATTATGCACTGTTGTGCTATTCAAAGAGATTCAGTTCTGCCACATGGGAAACATGAAACACACATGAACACACACGGTGTGGATGAAACGCTTGAGACATAGAAGTGGCTTGCAAGACCTACTAAAGGTAGGTGAAATAAATGCAACAGGGATGCTGGACAGAGGTATAAAGACAGAACAAGAGTATTACTCCTAAGCACACAGTCATGGACAGACCTCGGAGCCCTAAATATAAGCAAAACACTGATAGTGCCGCCTCCAGAATGACAGCTCATCCCTAAATTGACCAACCCCAGGGCCCTGTAGATTCTGCCTAGAGACTCAGGCTTGGCACGGCAGGTCACTGGAAGCCACAGCTCCTCCAGGCATCCGTGGCCCGAATCCCTCCAACAGAGCAAGTGCACACTGCTCACCCTCGTGCTGAGGCCCCAGTTTAACCTCAGCTCTATTCCCTGAAACCCCCTTGGCAGGGAAGGCCAAGCCAGGACGCAGCAGAGACAGGGCTCGTGAACACTGGCTGACCCCGGGTTCAGGAGGGTGTTCCTCCACCATGAGGGAACCCTATCTCGACCCTGTGCTCTCCGCTTGTAACCCTGCTGCCTGTTTTGAACGGGTTTAATCAACACCACAAGTGGAGCACCTGAAGTTGGCCTGCCAGCCGCCCATTCTGGGGCAGCCTGCCTGGCAATGTTCCTAGCAATCAGCACTGCCTCAAGGTGCTTTCCCATGCCACACTGCAGCCCCCTTCCCCTCTGGCCTTATTCTAAGCCACTTTCATGAAAGTAAATTCTGACCACATTGAACCTTGATCCACCCCCGGGGGCAAATCCTCTGTGTGCTTATGTACACGTTGGCCCAGGGAAGACTTTCCCTCTTCACACAATTCTTTTAAAAGCTCGGCTAACACCTCCCTTAGACCTTCCTGCCATTCTTGCCCACCCCACCCATCTCATAGGTCCCCCACCCCTAGCCAGACCTTCCCACAGCACCCATCAGGGTGAGCTTCAGTTGTTCCTCTGCTGAGCTGCCGTCCTCACAGGAAGTCGTCTCTGAACCTGTCTTTTGGTTCCACATGACACAACCTCCAACCCTAACATACAATCTGGCAGAGAACAGGCACTCAACAAACCTGGGATGGGTGGATTCATGAATGCAAGCTGTGAGGGGAAACACAAACAATTTTCTGCAAGCAAAGAACTGTGTGAGTTCTCTGGGTGAACAGTTCTTACTAAATAGGCTCAGCTAAGCGTAAAGAGCTGAATCTGCCCAATTTGCATTTATTAAGGCACCTCACAAAGTAACTGGACCACAGATGTCCGATAAATACCTGTTCACGAATAAGTGAAAAATAGGAATATGTGAATGCTACATTTTCAAACGGAATTCCTAAGATCTGCTCCCGTTTTCTTGGGGGGGTCTGCAAGGTGACCACAAACA